GACATTGCTTCCTCCACAGTCACTGCCTTGGCAGGTCAGTAGCCATCCCTCAACTCCTTCATAAAGATTGCTTTAAAGAACAGCATTGCTCTAGACTTTCTTTTAACCCAACTAGGAAGAGTGTGTGCAATTGTCAACACCTCCTGCTGTACCTGGGTTAACACCTCAGGTATTGTTGAAACACAAATAGAGGAGATCTGGAAGCAAGTCCACTGGCTGCAGACAGTGGAGCCACGCAAAGTATTCTTCTTTGACCTCTTTAACAACCTCTTACTTGGGATCCCTGGGATCCTATAGGCTAGGTCACTGCTCCAGACAGGCCTGATCACCTTGCTTGTACTAGTGGTCCTCCTAGAGGTGGCGAAGTGCATTCTGGCTATGGCTGGTCAATGCTGCACAGAAATTGTGTCAGTCAAGGTGTTATTCAGTCTGATGAGACAAACTTCCACCTCTAAATCCAGGGAGGTTGGTAGGCGTATGAAATAGACTACACTAAGGAGGATATCTGGGTCAGCAAGTGGACTGCAGACCAGGCCTCCAGGTGGCTTTGGACCAACCCAGTTCTCCACCTTTCTCATTTGTAGTTCTCAAGAATAGCTCTAGATTATGCTGGGAATGTGACATCCTGAGATAGGGAGGGACTGGCTGGAACAGCTTAGGCTCTGTTCCAGTCCACCTTGCTCTTCAAACAGATGTCTTCAATGCTTTGGCCCAACAATTCCTGTTTCCCCAGACTAAAAAACCTAGGGCATGCTGCTATTTTGGATCCCTCAGCTGCCATGCAAGTGGGGCAAATGCAGATATGACTCCATCCACCTTGGGCAGCTTTCCTGAGCCTTGAGGGACTGGTTCATGATGAATCCTAGGCTTCTGTAGTCCCTTGATGCCTATCTGTAAGGAATAAATCTGCTTCATGTAACACGTTGTATATGAGTATGTTCTGTCTCACTGGACTCAGACAAGTTGAAAATCAGCACACAATAAACATGTTTCACAGCTAACCTAGATGAAGTGAACAAATTTCTAGAAACACAAAAACTACCAAGACTAAATCATGAAGAAATAGAAAATCTGAATAGATCCATAACTAGTAAGTAAGGAGATGGAATCAGTAATCAAAAACCTCTCAACAAAGAAAGGCCCTGGTCCTGATGGCTGCCCTGGTGAGTTCTACCAAACATTTAAAGAAATAACTAATTCTTTTCAAACTCTTCCAAAAAATTGAAGAGGAGGGAACATTTCCAATTTATTTTCTAAGGCCAGAATTGCCATCATACGAAAGACAGACAAAGACGGTTCAGGAAAAGAAAACTGCAGAACAATATCCTTGATGTAAAAATCCTCAATAAAACACAAACAGAATTCAACAGCACATTAAATGAAACATATCCTGTGAACAGGTGGAATTTAGTCCTGGAATGCAAGGATGATTCATAATACAAAAAGTTTTTACAGTTTTTACATTATTATTATCATATTTTTACAAAAGACTTGCTGAGTTGAAACAATATAAAGTCTTATAAGTAAAATTGTAGTCCCCAACCTCTGGGCCACAGACCAGTATTAGTTCGTGGCCTGTTAGGAACCAGGCTGCACAGCCGGAGGTGAGCAGCAGGCCAGTGAGTGAAGCTTTATCTGTATTTACAGCCGCTCCCCATAGCTCATATCACCATATAAGCTCCGCCTCCTATCAGATCAGTGGTGGCATTGGATTCTCATAGGAGTGTGGGCCCTACTGTAAACCGTGCATGTGAGGGATCTAGGTTGCAAGCTCCTTATAAGAATCTGATTTCTGATGATCTGAGGTGGAGCTGAGGCGGTGATGCTAATGCTGGGGAACAGCTGAAAATACAGATCATTAACAGAGAGGTTCGACTGCACAATAAATGTAATGCTTGAATCATCCCAAAACCAGCCCCCACCCTCCGTTCCATGGAAAAATTATCTTCCATGAAACCAGTCCCTGGTGCCAAAAAGCTTGGAGACCAATAATATACCACATTAACAGAATAAAGGGGGAGAAAAATCACATGATTATCTCAATTTACACAGAAAAAAAATTTGACAGAATTCAATATCCTCTCGATTAAAAAAAAAGTACTCAAAATTAGGAATAGAAGGAAATTATCTCAATGTAATAAAGGCCATACATGAAAAGCCCACAGCTAATATCATACACTACAGTGAAAAGCTGAAGGCTTTTCATCTAAGATCAGGAACAAAGCAAGGAAGGATGCCTACTTACACCACTTCAATTCAGCACAGTATTGGAAGTTTTAGCCAGAGCAATTAGGCAAGAAAAATAAATAAAAAGCAAGCATCCAAATTGGAAAGGAAGATGTATAATTATCTCTGTACACACATAATATGAATTTACATGTAGAAATCCCTAAATATTTCACACGCAAAAAACTGAGAACTAATAAATGAATTCAACAAACTAGCAGGATACAAAATCAACATACAAAAATAAGTTGCACTTCTGTACACTAATGATAAACAATCCAAAAAAGAAAATAAGAAAACAATTCCATTTACAATACCATCCAGGAAGAATAAAATACTTAGGAATAAACTTACTCAAGGTTAAAGACTTACATTTTGAAAACTACAAAATGCTGCTGAAAGTAATTAAAGAAGACACAAACAAATGTAAAGACACGCTGTGTACATGTACTTATAAGACTTTATATTGTTTCAACTCAGCAAGTCTTTTGTAAAAATATGATAATAATAAAGACGTTATTATTGTTAAGATGTCAATGCTATCAAAAGGGATCCACAGATTCAGTTTCCCAAAATCCTAATGGCATTTTTTGCAGAAATAGAAAAATTCATTACAAAATTTACATGAAATCTAAAGGGACCCCAAATAGCCAAAATAATCTTGATGGAAAATAACAAAGTTGGATATCTCACACATTCTAATTTCAAAACTTATTACAAAGCTACAGTAATCAAAATAGTGTGGTACTGGCATAAAGACAGACCTATATACCAGTGCAATAGAATACAGCCCAGAAATAACCCTCCATGTGCATGGTCAAATGATTTTCAGCAAGGTCACCCAGTCCACTCAGTAAGAAAAGGACACTCTCTTCAACAAATGGTGCTGTGAAAACTGGATACCCACATAGAAAAGAATGAAAATGGACCCTTACCTTACACCATATACAAAAAGTAACTCAAAATGGATCAAAGACTTAAACATAAGATATGAAATCATAAAACTCTTAGAAGAAAACATAGAGGGAAGCTTCATAACATTGAATTTGGCAATGATTTCTTAGCTTTGATACCAAATGCACAGGTAACAAAGAAATAAAAAGATAAATTGGATTATATCAAAATTAAAAATTTCTGTGGATCAAAAGACAAAAACAGAATGAAAGGCAATCCACAGAATAGGAGAAAATTTTTCTAAATCATGTATCTGATAAGGTATTAAAATCCAGAATATATAAACACCTACAACACAACAGAATAAAAAAAAAAACAATTCAAAAATGGGCAAAGAATTTGAATAGACATTTCTCCAAAAAAAAATGTAAATTGCTAACAAGAATATGAAAAGATGCCCCTCATCACTAATCATTAGGGAAGTGCACATCAAAAACACAACGAGATATCATCTCATACCCATGAGGAGGACTACTATCAAAAAAGCAGAAATAGGCCGGGCGCGGTGGCTCACACCTGTAATCCTAGCTCTCTGGGAGGCCGAGGTGGGCGGATTGTTTGAGCTCAGGAGTTCGAGACCAGCCTGAGCAAGAGCGAGACCCCGTCTCTACTAAAAATAGGAAGAAATTAATCGGACAACTAAAAATATATAGAAAAAATTAGCCGGGCATGGTGGCACATGCCTGTAGTCCCAGCTACTCGAGAGGCTGAGGCAGAAGGATTGCTTGAGCCCAGGAGTGTGAGGTTGCTGTGAGCTAGGCTGACGCCATGGCACTCACTCTAGCCCAGGCAAAAGAGTGAGACTCTGTCTCAAAAAAAAAAAAAAACAAAACTCCCGTGCTGATCAGTAATGAAATTGCCCTGTGAATAGCCACTGCATTCCAGCCTGGGCAACAACGCAAGACCGCTTCTCTTAAAGAAAACAAAAAACTAAACTAAAAAATTAAAAATAGAATTACCATGTGATCCAGCAATTCCATTTCTGGGTATATACCCCCAAAAATTGAAAGCAGGGTCTGGAAGAGATATTTGCACATCTGTATTCATAACCGCATTATTCAAGTAGCCAAAAAGTGACAGCAACCCAAGTGTCTATCTGACAGATGAATGAATAAAATATAGCATACACATACAATGGAATATTATTATTCAGCCTTAAAAAGGAAAATGTGGTATTGTTACAGTATGGATGAACCTCAAAGACATTATGCTAAGTGAAATAAGCCAGTCACAAAAAGACAAATATTGTATGATTCCACTTATATGAGGTACTTAGAACAGTCCAATTCAGAGAGACAGAAAATAGAACGGTCATTGCCAGGGGCTGCGGGGAGGGAGGAAAGGGAGGAAAGTTATTATTTAATGGGTGCAAAGTTTCAGTTTTGCAAGATGAAAAAAGTTCTGGAGATTGAGGTTAATGATGGTTACACAGCAATGTGACTGTACTTAATGCCACCAAACTGTACACTTAAAAATGATCAAAATGGTAAATTTTGTTATATATATTTTACCACACTTAAAAATTTGTAAAGCAAAAAAGGATGACACAATCCTCCATGTTGCACAACTACAGGGGGCGCAATTTTACATAGTTTCCCTAGAGTGGGTCAATTTAGGGTCAACCCCAGCCCTCCTACCTATGGCGGACCTTGCTACTCATCCAGGACTGGGGCTCTTAGAATCCACCGCCACGTGGGACGCCAGGCACCTCCTGCTGATTCCTCATAGCTGATTAGTGACATGCCTAGTATTTGCCATCATTAGCTGAAACGATGACCTCCTGATAATATTTCTGACAAAAAGAGCTGGGAACAGAGATATAGCAGACCTGGTCATTCTTTTATTGGAAGAGGTATGCACTGTTGCACCTTACAAGCCTGTGGGCCCAGAGAGATTTCAAGTTGAATATCAAGATGGTTTTCTTTGAGTTCATAATGGCCCTGAATAAAGCCACGGGAATGGCAACTGTGCCAGCGCCAATAGACCTGGATGATGCGGGCAGCATTGAGCAAGCGACAGTAACGCTGACGGGTGTGCCACATGCGGACCCAGGACTGCAGCCTGACTGCGGCCCATTCTTGCCGTGCATAGAACTCCAGCGCCGCCCGCCGCCTCTTGTTCAACAGCTTCGCCAGCATCTGCCTCCACCAGCACTGAATGATCCAAGCTCTGAGGGCCGCATGCAGCAGAGTGCGGCGCACCAGCGTGCCCCGCCACCAGGCCTGGATGAACACAACCGCAGACTTTTCTGTCATGATGGTTTTCTCTTTGGGGCCTTGCAAGAAAAAACAGAGAACACTTGGGATACTTAGGACACTCAGGATGTGCCAGGAAGGGGCTCTGATCCTCTATCAACAACGGCCCTTTCCTGTAAAGTCAGGTGCACTGGACAGGGCAACAGCTGGACCTAGGAGACCAGGTAGGTGTCTCACCCCTGCCACCCTCAGGTTAATGGACATGAACACCTCACCCTGACCTCTGAGTCTCAATGTTCCCATCTGCAAAATGGGGGTACACCTGACCTAGCTGCCTCACCCTATTTTCTATGGACCTTATTGGCCAGTCTAGAGCAGAACACTGTGATTTAGAGGTGAAAGACCTACAGGTTCCACCTGGGCCCGACTACCTATCTAGGATCCATGACCCCTCCCTTCAGACCCCTCCCACCTGCTGGAGAAGTGGCATCCTTTGCTTTGGCCCTGCCTTCTCAACTCTGACTTCGGGTCAAACCCACCACCTACTGTGTCCCTTTACCTCGCCAAAGAAGTAAAAGACTCCTCCAGCTCACACACGTTATTAACAGCTTAGACTTCACTTAACATATACATCAGTACAAACATACATGCTCACACGCACTCACACCACATTTTAGACCTCACCATCCCACCCCTTGGCCCTTGCATTCTCCAAACACAGTCCCCTCTTTCAGCTCTCATCCCTCTGTGGTCTGGGTTCACACTCCTCTGCCTCCCTCCTTGCCACAGTCTACCAGACTCACAGCCTCCGCCTAGGAAGGAAATGGGGAAAAGGACCGCCAAGAGGGGGGGTCAGTCCTTGTTTGTTCCACCCCAGTTTGCCTGGGACATACTGAAGTTGTGCCTATTGTCCTGGTGTGATGAGGACAAGGGCCCCTTTCACTCCCAGGAGTCTCTCTTTGACAATAAGTTGCATGGTCACAGGCCTTTGAGTCACTCCCCTGGACCAAAAGGGTCAGAGATGCCACAAGTCAAGGCTTCCCCCAGCTCGGCAGAGCCTGCCTGTCTACCGCGGGGCCACAGTGAAGGCAGTGGCTATGGTGCCGGCGAGGGCGTTGGGGGTCGAGGCGTATCCCTCTTCTTGCTTTTGCTCCTTCGAGCTCCGTTCTTTCAATGTGATTTCATCATTATCATTTGATAATAATTTAAAATGGTTTGCTATCCTTCCGTGATCAGAGTTCAGGGGGAGAGTATGGGAAAAAGTAAGGGTGCCCTCCCTACCACGAGGTGCCAAGTCAGCCACAGACTCAGCTTCCTGGTTTTGTCTGGGACTTCAGACGAGAGCAGGATCCTCTTGAACTTAGGGAAACTTACTTCGCCCCCTCAGAAAGCTTAAGTGAATCTGACTGCCTCTTACAACGCATTCAATCCCCTAACTTGGGGACAAATGGTCGAATTCCTAATGGTCTGCATTCTACTAAATTACCCATGGTTAGGGGCAAGTTGGTTCCATCACCCTCAGATCTGCACTCTTCCAACCACACAGCTCCAGGAGGAAGAGCGGAGGAGGGGCGGACAGATGACATCACAAGGGCACCTATGATGCAGGCAGCAGGATGGCTCCCAGTGAGTGAATCCATTCCAGGGAAAACCTAGAAGACCTGTCCTTTCTTTCCCTCCAGAATGGCCAGATTTCTAGCTACAAAGAACACCCCAAACATGGACCCATTGGCACAAAGGTATAAAATGATACTCATTAAAACCCAGCTGATATTAATTAAATAGTATTCAGATCACTTAAACAATGGTATACCAAATAACAATGAATTTGCTCTCTATTTGCAGATATAGAAGAGTGTACCATATTTAGTAAGTGAAACATCAAGATGAAAAACTAGATAATCCCAATATAAGGAATTATTTGTACACATGTGTTATAAAGGCATTATCTTAAAAGGAGTGGGGCCTAGGAAGATATACACAAAAATTAACAACCATCTCCTTTGATGAGGATAGTGGAATGGGAGGGAAAGACAAACTCCCTCCCTATGGCTAGACCCCCTGTGCCTGGCCCATCTATGGGTCCTGAGAGAGCAGGACACACGCAGGCCAGAAAACCCCACGAGGCTCCCAGGACCAGCTGGGCCCCATGTCAGGCTCAGATGTGCTCAAGCGCTCTCCTGCCCCTCAGAACCTTGAGGCCACAATCAGATGGATGAGGGCGGCCACTGCACATGTGGAGCCCCCCTCTGTCTGATCCTGGCCACCTGACATTGTGAGGCCCTGGGCCCCTCGGAGTCACAGCCCACAGATCACAGAGGAGTGCATTTGTAGTCACGTGTAGGGTGAGTGTGGGAGAGCCCTGTGTGGGCTATGGGGGATGTAGGGAAGGGCAGGATGGCATTTGAGACTGGGTCAGGTCCCAGGAGGCCCCCATCAACGCGGTGCCTCCATCACCCTGGCTCCAGAGTCAAGCCCCTGCTCACCACACTCCTCTGTCCGTGGTAATGTCAATGCGGGGAATCGGCCCCGCTTCACAGCTGAGGAAACTGAAGTGGCTCACCCACCTCACGGCTGACCAGTCACGGGCCAGCACTGGTCCAGCTCCACTCCACTCTGAGACGTGGCTCTAACCCGCTATACGCGGACTCCAGCATCTCCACACTTCCCCGATGCTTTGGGTCCTCATTGTTTCTAGAAAAAAATCTAAGAAACCTCCATCCAGAATGTTGAAAAATTAGCCAAGCAAAAGAAGCCAGACTCCCAAGAGGGCAGGCTGTGTGGACCCAGGTGTGTGCTGCGCAAGGGCACCGCCACGATGGGGACACACAGCGGCCACCCAGACTTGAGGCCGGGACTGGACGGGGACTATGTGGGTAAGGCAATGTTCTATACTTTGATTATCACTGTGGTCACACATGTATATAAACTTGTCAAAAAATAGATAAAATGTACACCTAAAATGGATACATGTTATATGTACATAAATTATGCTCGGTAAAAGTTGATTTAAATACCTCCATCCATCTTGGTTCGAATGCAGAAATCATCATACTATTATGTAATAGGATCCAAGTGTGTTTGGGGAGCGAGGGGAGGGATAAAGGTCCCTGCACTCCAAGGGAAAGATCCCACATTTCGAGCCCAGTGGAACAAGGGGGCTGGAGCCCAGGAAGGAGGGAGACCCAGACAGGCAAGAGGCCCAGGGCTGGGGCACTGGCGGACATGATGAACCTGGGGGCAGCAGGGTGCTGGGGCCTTCAGAGCCACCAGGACCAGCTCAGACTCCAGCCAGCGGGCAGGGAGGAGCCACCACAGGGGCTGAGGAGCAGAGGGGTGGCACCATCCAAGGTGGGGTTTGGGGGTGTGCTGGGTGAGGCACCTGGTGGGGAGCATGCTGGGGGAGCCTCCTGGAGGCTGGGCTAAGGGACGCAGCACAGGGAGCAAGACATAAGCACCCTCAGGACCACTGGGTGGCCTCTGGCACAGAAGCACCAGCATCCCGGGGCCTCTCCCCATCCTCCCACGCCACCTCCATCATTCTCCCCTCCTCTACCAGAGTCCCCCCAGAGGTCCTCAGCAGACCCCTTCAGGGAGGGGTGGAAAGGAGAGAAGAAAGCAGGGTCAGTGAGGGTCCCAATGGGATCAGCATTCTGCATGTGCTCACAGCCCACGGCCTGCGGAGGGGTGAGCGGGTCTCCTGGGAGTGGGCTGTGCTAAGAGGGCCCCTCCCACCGGCCCCTGCCTCGGGCATTTCTTCTGCGGCAGCTGCACCCCCACCCCCAGATAAGTGACCCTCATATGCAGACCCTGGCACAGCTGTCCCCGCCCCCGGCAGCCCCACAGGGCTGACTGACTGGCTCCTGCACCCTGAGACATCCCAAACCCCCTCTACAGATCTCCACGGTGGTCCGCATCAGATACTATGGTAGTCACCTGTTTGCTGCCTGGCCCCTTCCCTCACTGGTTCCTGGAGGGCAGAGCCTGAGCATTTTTCATGTTTGTGTCCACAAAGGCTACGCAGTACCAAGACATAGTAGGTGAAAAATCTTGTTTGGCAAATGAATAATGAATAGATGGAAAAACGGACTATCTACCCATAGCCCACTTCTCCGCAAAGACCTGAAGCCGTCATGGCCTGCAAGCCTTCTCTCCATTCCTAGAGACAAATCCTGTCATTCCCTCCCCTATCCCCTGTCTCCTGCCCCAGTAAGGGTGAGATTGGGCATAGGCTGGTGCTGGAAGTCCCCAGGTCTGAGGTGAGGAGGCTGGGGCACTGTGGGACTGGGGAGAAGGGTGGCACTGGGAAGGCAGGGGACAGAGAAGGGAGACACCTGGGAGGGAGACAAGAGAGGGCAAACGTGGGGCCTTGGGGTCCCAGAGAGAGAAGTGGGGAGCAGAAAGGAAGGCAGTGAGACAGAATGTGATTTCTCCAGGCTGCAATCAGGGAAGCCCTGAACCCTCAGTCTCCCACCCAAGAATCTCATTGCCCCCCTTTTCTGCCCCCCACTGAATGCCTACTGCCACAGCTAGGAGTTCCTGGCAGGTGCATTTTGAGAATGAGTCCGAGATCCCGTACCGCCACAGCTCAGATCCTGCTCCAGGGCCATGGGCAGAGCACTTGCCCACAAAAGACTCTTTCTCTCTCCTTCCTGGTGGTCCCCAGCCCAATCCTGTCCCACCCTGGGTGACCAAGACTTAGAGTCACAACAGAAGCCCTGAGTTTACCTCACCTGGAGAGACGCCCTGGCCCAAGAGACACATTTGCTTTAACACTGGGTCTCGGGACTGGGAGATATGTAGAGAGTCTCAACATTGTTTGTTTAGGATATTGTGGGAAGTTCATAACTGGGTGATCCTGGGTGGCTAAATGCTACGACAGGATGGCAGACTTGGGTATTCGGTGGGTCAAACCCTGTCTTATGTTAGCTTTTTGGAAACAGACTCTGAGCTGGAAGGATGCATGCAGAAGTTTAACTGGAGAGTGTTCTTAGGAGATGATACACCTCTAAGGAAGTGAGGAACACAATATTGGGCAAAAGGAGACGCTAACCACAACACATTTGTGATGTATTTTCTTGTCTCTTGGCAAAATGAGGCTACAATGACCAGATCACAGCCATGGCTTTAAATTTAACGGGTTTCTTACTGTGACCCCTGATAAATGTCTTCCCCCCAATCTAGATGGAGCCTAAGTTTCAAGGACAAAAAGTACAAACTCCCAGGTAGATAACTGGAAGACATAGCACCAGGTCCACCACCATTTCCACACGTTGGTTCCTGGGCACATACATTCTATCTGTTAGCAGCTGGGCACCAGGTAATGGGCATTGACTTAGGGCATGGGTTGGCATACTACAACCCATAGGTCAAACCCAGCCCACTGCCTGCTTTTGTACATCCTGCAAAGAATGGTTTCTACATTTTTCAGTGGTTGAAAAAATTCAAAAGAATATTTCATGACATCTGAAAATTATATAAAATTCAAACTTCTGAGTCCATAAAGTTTCACTGCAACACTGCCACACTTATATGTTGTCTGTAACTACATTTGCACTACAATGACAGTTAAATAGTTGTGACAGAGACAATTTGTGGCACTCTCCTCACTTCCCACTGCTGCCCAGCACACAAAAATCATCATGGTGCAATTATACCTAAAAAGTTGTTTTGAGTGCCACACATATGGCACTCACATAGGTCACGTGCTATATTGTGACCTATTTTTTATTATCAGTGCAACTCATCACTTCAAAACAAGAAGAGAAAAGTGGACTTTAAATGTCGCACTTTTGAGACAATGGCAAAACATTGTGTTCATTACCTAATGACACTATAGCTATGGTAAAAGAATACAATATTATACATCAACATTACCAGACTAAGAAATCCATAATATTCCTCACTCACAAGAAAGCAATAATTATAAAAGTTAGAAATTTTAAATGGTATATCTCATCATTCTGTACAAAAACAAAAAAATGAAAATGAAACTGCAAGCAAAGTTAAGTTTCCAAATGCCTCATTTGTTAGCCAAGCAGGGAATCTGTTTACCCATAATGAGTTAATTAAATCCTGTTTGATTGTAGCAGCTGAAGAAATGTATCCAGAGAAAATAAACTTAACACTATTAGCCTTTCAATGAAAATCACTGCTCAGAGTTGAAGATGTGGGAACGACATCAACGGTCAATTTAAAAACAAGGCAAATTATTTCATGTGGTTTTTCCTGGCACTTAGTGAGTTGGCAGATGTACCAATACAGCTCGGCTGTAGCTTGCTGAGGGGGTAAATTCCAAGTTTGAAATGACTGAAGACTTAACTTCTAGGAATAGTGTGTGTGAGAACGTAGGTGAGAATATTTGTTGAAAAAGTTGAGAAAATGTTAACTCAATACAATCTGAAATGGGATCTGCCAAGATGTGATAAAACTGATAATAGTAAGAACATATGGAGCGCAAAAAAGGCTTAGCTGGACAAACTTACAAAGCTTAAGTGTAAGGTGCTTAATGCCTATGGTTATTCATTGTATTATT